GAGGACTATGGGCATCTGCCCAGGGGTTAATCCTGTGAACCAGAACTCATTATTTGCTCACTTAAATCAATGATGAAGTCTATGGGCAGCTCCCCATGGATGATGTCTTATCATTATTTAGTAACTTAAATCAATGATGAGAAGTATGGGAGTCTCCCCAGGGATGAAACATGTGACATCATCAGATTATTTATTTACTTAAATCAATAATGAGGTCTATGGTTTTCTCCCCAAGGGTGAATCCTGTGACCTCATCTAATTATTACCTACTTAAATCAATGATGATGTATATGAGCCTCTACCTAGGGTTTAATCATTCAACAAAATCTCATTATTTTGTCTCTGAAATAAATGATGTGGTCTATGATCATCTCTCCAGGGGTGAATCCTGTTACTTCATCTCATTATTATGTCACTTAGATCAATGATGAGGTCTATGGACATTTCCCCAATGTTGAATCATGTGATGTCATCTCATTATTTACTCACTTAAATCAATAATGAGGTCTACGGGCTGCTCCTCATCGGAGAGTCATGTGATGTCATCTCCTGATTTAGTCATTTAAATCAATGATGAGGTGCATGGGGATCTACCCAGCAGTGAATTGTGTGAGTTCATCTCATTATTTAGTCACTTAAATTACTGACGAGTTATACAGGCTGCTCCCTAGTGGTGAATCATGTGATGTCATCTTATTAATTAGTCATTTAAATCAATGATGAAATCTATGGATGTCACCACAAGGGTGAATCGTGCAATGTCACTTCATTGTTTAGTCACTTAAATCAATGATGAAGTCTATGGGCTACTCCCTATGGGAGAATCATGTAACATCATCTCCTTAATTAGTCACTTAAATCAATGACGAGGAATATGGGTGTCTCAACATGTGTGAATCATGTGACTTCATTTCATTATTGACTCACTTAAATCAACGACCAAGTCTATGGGCTGCTACCTAGGGTTGAATTATTTGATGACTTCTCATTATTTTTTCACTTAAATCAGTGATGAGATGTTGGGCATCTCCCCATGTTTGAATTAAGCGATGTAATCTCCTTATTTAGTCACTTAAATCAATGATGAGGTCTATGGGCATCTCACTAGTACTGAATCATATGAGGTCATCTCATTATTTAGTCACTTAAATCCTTGATGATGTCTATGGACATCTCCCCTGGGGTAAATTTCGTGATTTCATCTCATTATCTAGTCACTTAAATAAATGATGACTACTATGGGGAGACCCCCATGGGTGAATTAAGTGAAGTCTTGTCATTTTGTAATAACTTAAATGATTAATTGTATGGGTGTCTCCCCAGGTATGAAACATGTGAAATAATTTCATTATTTATCCACTTATAACATGATGAGGTCCAAGGGCATCTCCCGTGGGATGAATAGTGAGATGGTGTCTCATTATTTAGTCACTTAAATCAATGGTGATATCTATGGGCATCTCCCCTATGGTGAATAGTGATTTCAACTCATTATTAAGTCACTCAAATCAATTTAAAATTTCTATTGGCATCTCCCCAGGGTTGAATCATGCGACATTATCTCATTAATAAGTCACTTAAATAAATGATGAAGTCTATGGGGGTCTTCCTAGGGGGAATCTTACAATTTTCTCTCATTATTCAGTCTCTTAAATCAATGATGCAGTGTATGGGCATCTTCCCAGGGGTGAATTCTGGATGTCATCTCATTATTTGATAACTTGAATCAATAATGAGCTATATGAGGGTCTCACAAGGGATGAATCGTGTGACTTTATCTCATTGTTAAGTCACTAAAATTAATGATGATGTCTATGATTATCTCCCCAGGGTTGAAGCATACAACATCATCTCATTATTTAGTCACTTAAAGAAATGATGATGTCTATGGGCTTCTCCCCAAGTGTGAATTATGTGATATCATCTCATTATTTGTTCACTTAAATCTATGATGAGGTCTATGGACATCACCTCAAGGGTGAATTATGTGACATCATCTCCTTATAGTCACTTAAGTCAATGATGAGGTCTATGGGCATCTCCCCAGGGGTGATTCATGTGACATCATCTCATTATTTACTCACTTAAATCAATGGTGAGGTCTATGTGCTTGTCCCACGTGGTGAATTATGTAAAGTCATCTTATTATTTACTCACTTAAATCAATGATGATGTCTATGGGTGCCTCCCCAGAGGTGAATCTTGCAAGTCATCTTATTATTTAGTTAGTTAAATCAATTAGAAGATCTATGTGCCTCCCCAGAGGTGATTTATGTGAGGACTTCTCATTATTTATTAACTTAAGTCAATGATGAGATGTATGGGCGTCTCCCTAGGTGTGAATCATGGGAGGATATATCATTATATATTCACTTAAATCAATGATGAGGTCTAAGGGCATCTTCTCAGAACTGAATTATGTGATGTATTCTCATTATTTGATCACTTATTCAATGATGAGGTTTAAGGTCATCTCAACAGTGATGAATTATGCCATGTCATCTCATTATGTATTCACTTAATCCAATGATGAGGTCTATAGTTGACTCACAATGGGTGAATAATATGACACCATGTCACTATTCACTTGAATCAATGGTGAGGTCTATGGGAGTCTCCCTAGGGGTGAATTATGCCATGTCATCTCATGATTTAGTCAACTGAATCAAAGATGAGGTCTATGGGTTTCTCCCACGAGTGAATCCTGCGATATCATCTCAATATTTAGTCACATAAAGAAAAGATGAGGTCTATGGGTGTCTACCCAGTGATGAATTATGTGACATCACCTCATTATTTGATATCTAGTATCAAAGATGAGGTCTACGGGTGTCTCCCCAGTCATGAATTATGCGAGGTAATCTCATTATTTGATCACTTAAATCAATTATGAACTGTTTGGGCATTTCCGAAGGGGTGAATTATGTGTCGTCTTCCCATTATTTGATCACTCAAATCAATGATGAGGTCTTTGTGTGTCTCCACAGGGATGAATCATGCAATGACATATCATTATTTAGTCACTTAAATCAATGATAAGGGTATCTCCCCAGTGATGTATTTTGTCGACTCATCTAACTATTTGATCACTTAAATCAATAATGAGGTGTATTGGCATCTCCTCAGGAATGAATTAGGCCATGCCATCTCATTTTTTCGACAGGTAAATCCATGGGGAAATCTATGAGCATCTCCCTAGGGGAGAATTATGCAACCTCATCTCATTATTATGTCAATTGAATCAATGTTGATGTCTATTGCCGTCTCTCCACCTGTGAATTATGTGATGGCATCTCATTATTTGATCACTTTAAATCAATGGTAAGGTGTAAGGACATCTCCAGAGGGATGAATTATGTGATGTCTTCTCATTATGTATTCAATTAATTCAATGATGAGTTCTATGGGCGTCTCCCTAGGGGAGAATTATGAGACCTCACCTCATTAAGTCAATGGAAACAATGATGAGGTCTATGGATGTCATTTCAATATTTAGTCACTTGAATAAATGATGAGGTCTATGGGCATCTCCAAAAGGGTGAATCATGTGACTTCATCTCATTATTTGATATCTTAAATCAATGATTAGGTCTATAAGAATCACTCTGGGGTGAGTCATGCAAGGAATTATCATTATTCGGTCACTTAAATCAATCATGAGGATTATGGGCATCTCCCCAGGGGTTAATCATGCAAAATCATCTCATTATTTGGGCAATGAAATCAATGATGAGTTGTATTGGCATCTTCCCAGTGGTGACATATAAGTTATTATCTCATTATTTGATCACTTAAATCAATGATGTTGTCTATGGGCACGTCACCAGGGTGAGTGATGCGATATCATCTCAATATTTGATCAATTAAATCCATGATGAGTTCTAAGGTGTGAATCCCCAAGGGTGAATTATGTGATGACTTCTCATTATTTACTAAATTAAATCAATAATAAGGTGTATGTGCGCCTCCCCAGGGATGAATCATGTGACCTCATCTCCTTATTTAGTTACATAAATCAATGATGAGGTCTATGTGTGTCTCACCATGGGTGAATTATATGACTTCATTATTACTTAGTCACTTTAATCAATGATGAAGTCTATGGACCTATCCCCAGGGGTGAATTATGTGAGGTCTTCTCATTATTTGATTACTTAATTCAATGATAAGGTGTATGGGCAACTCCCCAGGGATGAATTATGTGATGTCATATCATTATGTATTTACCTAATTCAATGATGAGGTCTATCAGCCACTCACCAGGTGTGAATTAAATGATGTCATATCAATATTTAGTCCCTTGAATCAATGATGACTTCCATGTGTGTATCCAAAGAGGCGAATTATGTAACATCATCTAATTCGTTATTCACTTGAATCAATGATGAAGTCTATGGGCATCTCCCCAGGGGTGAATCATGAGACCTCATCTAATTATTTAGTCACACCCTTGATCCCAGCACTACAGTGGTGCAAAACGTAGGAGCAGACTCTTCAGCAGTTAGTCTCAGGATAATCTCCAGTTGGGCTAAGGAGAGGCAGTAGTGTGATGCTTGCGGAGAGTTCCTGGAGCCTGAGGTAGAAGCAAGAGCTAGTGGCCAGGCTGCTTTGCTTCTCTGATCTTCAGCTTGAAGACTGAACCCCAATATCAGTCTCTAGTCTTCTATTTTTCGTGCTGCAGATACGTGTAATTGTGACCCCCAGGTTGAAGAAGAAGTCCTATGTCTTCATTTTGGATCCATTTTAAGCTTCAGCCTGCTACAAGCAGATATGTCAGGCGACCTGTCACCCGAGAGCTGGGGCTACACTGACATCAGTTTCAAGAAATTCACCTACAATTGGAGCATAAGCAAATTTGTTTCATCCTGCAGGAAATGAGGGAAGCCATTAAAAGCCCAAACTTCTCCTAAGGAGCCAGTGACACAGACAGATGGTGTTTGAAAGTACACCCAAATGGGGTCCAGAAAAATGGAGAAGGCTACTTGTCAGTTTACCTAATGATGCTCAGCAGTCCAAGGAGCCCAGCATGGGCAAAGTTCCAGTTTTGGATCATCAATTCCGAAGGAGTGAAAACAAAAGGCATGAAGAGCCCAAGATACTTCATGTTCCTGCAAAATGAACACTGGGTATTCAGACAGTTCATCCTCCAAGATTTCCTCTTGTCCCAGGAGCCTTGGATACTCCAAGACGATGAGCTCATCCTCCAATGCAAGGTGACTGTGGTGCAAGATGCTTTCGGCATCTCTGAGGAGAGAACGACGCCAGGGATCCAGGTTCCAAGGTACACTATGGCAGATGAGCTAGGAGAGCTGTGGGAGAATTCCCTCTTCACAGACTGCTGCCTGGTGGTAGCTGGCAAGGAATTCTGGGCTCACAAGGCCATCTTTGCAGCTCGCTCTCCAGTTTTCAGAGCCATGTTTGAACATGACACGGTGGAGAGGAGAAAAAAGCAGGTTGAGATCCACGATCTGGAGCTGCGAGGCTTCAAGGCAATGATGGGCTTAATTTACACCAAGAAGGCACCAGACCTCCACTACATGGCAGATGCTGTGCTTGCAGCTGCCGACAAGTATGGCCTGGAGAGTTTGAAGGTCATGTGTCAGGACGTCCTCTGCAAGGACCTCTCTGTGGAGAATGCTGCCCACATTCTCATTCTGGCTGACCTCCACAGTGAATGGCAGCTGAAAACAGAGGCCATGAGTTAAATTACAGCTCATTCTTCTGAGGTCTCTGAGACCTCAAGCTGGAAGACAATGTGGGGCTCATATCCACACTTGGTTGCTGAATCATACAGCTCCCTGGCTTCTGCTCACTGCTCTATACTCAAGCCACCTCCCAAATGCCTCAAGCAATCTTAGGATACTCTTAGCTGTGACCTATATGTGTATTCCAGGAGCAGCAGCCAACATTGTTACCAAGGACATCTGGGTAGACTGTGGGACACTGCAGTGTTTTTCAAAGAATCTTTGGAAAGACAGAATGGGGGCTCAGGCATTTAATACCCCTGGAAATCTGTTTAATGGCAATTCATTCTAGGATACCCTACCCAGATGCTGTATTTGTATGATTTCTCTACAGTGAGTTGGATATTGGGGATTCAGTTGGGTTGTTGGCCCAAGCACATCCCAACAGGGTTCTATTTGTATTAGACTGAGGAGAACATAGGATCAATGATTTAGACCAAAGGAGAAAACAAACATGAATATTTGCTTACAAGAGATGAGGAAGAGAAATAAGGCAATTTTGCTCTCCAGACTCAGGGTGTTGGGAGTGGAGGGTTGACTCAGTTGGCCAAAGCAGTTGTTGCACCTGCAGAGGACCAGTTCTATGAGTTCAGCTCTCAGCATACATGGGAGAATTCTCAAACTTCTTCAACTGGAGATCCAGTGCATTCAAGTCCTCATCTTGTCTCTATGGGTGCATCCTTTTCTGTAAACTAAAGAAAATAAATGTGAATAAAAATTTGACAACCAGTTTGTGGAAACTGTGGTGTTTCTGTTTGAAGAAGCCTGTATTCGTTCATCGAGTTCTGCTCAGGTCTTTGGGCAGCATCGTCATGGAGACACCCTTCACAAGAGGTCCCAATCCTCTTTCTTGGCACTTAAAATAGGCAGAGCAGATGCCAAAGACAAAGAACATACTACATCTATCACAGTCTTTTGGTAGTCTAGTCTTTGCATAAGATGTTAAGGTTTTTCCAAGAAGAGCAGGATATTGATTTATTGAGAATCCATATTTTCTCCACCTGAAATGTGGTTCTGTTTTTAGATATTGGGAAAATAATTCTTCCATCCCCACAATTGTTAAATGCATTATCTCTTGGAAACAGGTTCAAAGGCTGGTCCTTTTCCTCCCCTGACTTGTTCTCAGCTGGCTGAATCTTTTGGTTTTCCTTTGACAGCTCTTTCCAAGTTATACTGGAGTAACAGATTGAGAGGTTAATCCCAACCAAGACCCCTGTTGATGTAGGCACGAAAGGTTGAAGACAGTATGTCATGTGTTTGTTGTAGTCAGGTTTTGGTCATATCATCCCCACTCTGCAGAAAGAATTTGCTTTCCTTGGTTTCTTTTGCCATGTTTATAAATCGATTTATGCCAGACTGAGACTATTTATTTCTTTTTTTTTTTGGTTTTTTGAGACAGGGTTTCTCTGTAGTTTTGGAGACTGTCCTGGAACTCACTTTGTTTACCAGGCTGAACTCGAACTCACAGAGATCCGCCTGCCTCTACCTCCCGAGTGCTGGGATTAAAGGCGTGCGCCACCAACGCCCGGCTGAGAGTATTTACTTCTAACACTTCCAGTTAAGCCAAAATCAGGAAATCAGATAATTTGGTTTTTTTGAAAGCGGAAAAGGAAAACATATCATTACTGCTTTGTGATTTAAAATTACCAGCTTAGATTGACTGACTCTCTCCACATGTTTGATCTTGAGTTGGAGACTGCCCACATACAGGAATTGACACATTCTTCCTTGAGGAAAGAACTTCCAGGCATTCATTTGTAGTTTAGAATGTATGTCTCTTTTCTTTTTTTCTTTTTTTATCATTTTTTATTTTAATTTTAAATAGCTTGTTTTACATGTCAATCCCAGTTCCCTCTCCCTCCCCTCCTCCCGCACTCCCCTTCCCCCACACCCTCCCACCCTATTGCCAAATCCTTCCACATAGGGGATATCTAGAGTCTGTCATTTTACTCTGGGGTAGGGTCCAGGCACTCCCCTAAGAGTCCAGGCTGAGAGAGCATCCCTCTTTGTGCTATAGGCACATGAAGACTGTTTGTATACCAGGGATAGACACTGATCCACCTCTCAGGGCCCCATAGGTTGCCCAGGCCTTCTCGCTGACACTCACATTTGGGCGGTCTAGATCAGTCCCATGCTGGCCTCCCCACTGTCGGTCTGGGGTCCAAGAGCTCTCCCCTGTTTAGATCAGCTGTCTCTGCTGGTTTTGCCAGCCCATTCTTTGCCAATTTGCTCATCACTCCTCTCTCTCTGTCACTGGGTTCCTTGGGTTCAGTTCAGTGATTAATTGTGTGTTTGCCTCTGCTTCCATCAGTCACAGGATGAAGGCTCCCGGATGGTTATAGACATCAAGTTCATTATCAGGAATGGGCATTCGAGGTGGTCTCTCCACTGTTGCTTAGCTTGCCAATTGGTGATATCCCTTTAGATCACTCGAGGTCCCTCTGGTGCCTGATCTGTATTCTATCCTATGATTCCCTCTTCCCCCTATTCTACCCCCACTCCCTCAACTTCCTGTTCCCCCATGACCAACTCTCTTGACACATGTGGGAGATCCTAGGCCCTGCTGGGAGAATATATGACAGACTTTTGAGATCCCCAATGAAGGGCCTCACCCTCCTTGGAGAGTGGAGTAGGGATTAGAGGAGGGATTGTGGGAGAATTGGAAGGGGGTTGGAGAGGAGTGGAGGGAGAAGGAGCTGGATTATACATGTGAAGCAAACTTGTTTTTAATTTAATTTAAATAAAGAAATTTTAAAAAGATTGAGAAATCCATGATATTCATCCTCAGAATCATCCTGTGCCCCAGACCTAAGCAGTGATTTGGTACAATAGTAGAAACAGCTGTGCGTATGTGTTTCACAGTCTCCTCTAGATTTTCTGGGCCTTTCTTCTCCCAATCTCTACAGATCTTGCTACAGGGAAGCTGATTTGAAGACACTGGCTCAGTATGTCTGAGATTCATTATTTTTCTGTCAGTATGTCATCATCATCCAGGTAGTCATCTTCTTTCTGCTCAGGACCAGGGATAAGTAGCAGTGGATTCCGTTCCACATCAGAGACAGATACAGTAATGGAACCATCTCTGATAGTCATCCATTCCTCTCTGCTATGGCAGTGAACATTGTTCAAGTGTATGGCTTCCTCTTTGTTGTTTTCCTCTGCTATTATCAAATTAATATATAGATTTAGATGATTGTTACTACACAAACATGGCCATGGTCTGTTAAACACGATCTCAAGTTTAGGCTGAAATGGCTTATGCATGAACAAACTCATCACCAGGCCTCAAACTCCCGCCTCTCTTCAGCATCACTGGAAAATGAATGCCTCCTACAGGCTGAATCAGACTAAATAATCTTAATCAACAGAAACCATCATTTCCTTACTTCTCTCCCATTTCTCAGTCCAAAGGCAGAGAATCCTATCTCCACCTACCTTATCACTAACCCAGATACCCACTGGTGTTGAAGTTCAACACCCAGGACATGCCCTTAAATTTATATCTAACTAGGAACTGCACTGGTCCTCTACTATTATTCCTCTAACATCAAACATACACCCACTCTGTAGCGTTCACTCAGTCTGCATCTCTAACAGCTCTCCTCAAGTTCTGCAGTCTCTGTCTTCTCTGCATATATTCTCGAGACCCCATGATGCTGTCGGGCTTTCTGTTCACAAATTGCCCATGGGTATATGTGCATTCAGAAGAAAATTCTATCATCCTTTATTGAAGTGCACTTTATGAGTACTAAGAAAATGTCAGTTTTTTACCTAGGGATCTAGTGACTCCCAGTGGTGGAATACAAACACTCCAGGCAACCTCTTCCTCGTTTTGCAAACCCCCAAAAAGACCCCAGGTAACTGAACAAATCCTGGAAAACGTCCTTGACATATACAAAGATTGCGTAAGTTCAAATTTAAACAAGCTGGGAGCT